TAGACATTTTTAGTATGAAAAATAGGGTTTGTTGTCCATGGCAGTTTTCTTTTTTCATCCTTTCATCCTTTTCATGTTCCATCTGAGAAGTGTAAAGGCTGATTGTGCGATATGTGTCGGATACAAATACATTTGGATTTTGAAGATTGGTGTTACTAAATAACTCCTGTACTATAGTAATCAAAAAGCTGTTTCATATAGTTTTTAGACAAATGCATTCTGGGAGAAAACAAAGCTAGCAGATGGGCTGACACTGTAAATGGTCTTCAAGCCAACAGAGCTTTTTACTCAATCATGCCAACTTCATTCCTTTACTGAGGAATTTCGGTCATTTAATTTTACTGTTTGAGATAAACAGCCTACAGGAACCTCTCGCGCTCACAGTGATTGAAGGGATTAAGAGACAATTTTGTGAGTTTTGAGGCTTTCAATTTCTTCGTAATTATCAAAATCCTAAAACTTGAATTTGTCAGACTAATGGGCAGAACAGATGGCATAGATTTGCCACAAATGTTTCAACTCATTCATCAACACTTGGAGTGAGTTCTTCTTATGTACTGTAGTAGTTAGAACCAATTTTAACGTCACTTAAATCTTAGAAAGCAGTTGTACTGAGTATATGATATCAATTCAGTTTGTTACAACATTTTATTTCTTAAAATATGTTAGATCCTTGCTACAATGCTCAACACTTCATCTTTTTTCTGTAAAACGTCTAATTGATTTGGACTTCCTTAGAAATACAACAGCCTTAAATTACTTAAGTGATTTACAAATGTGAGTATGTCCACAATTCCATACCTGATTATTAGCCATATGAATTTTTGACTGGCATGATGATGTTCTACTGCATGAACTCAGTCCACAGCTGTTAACTCAGTGAAGTTGATATTTTAATGGGCAGTTTTTAAGTGCTGTAGACTGCATTTAGCATATCATTTATATAGCTCTAAGGGCAAGTGAGGTCTATGCCCTGCATTAACCCACTGTACCTTTTAATTGAGTGGTTTTAAGATTTTATCACCCAGGCTTTAATGATATGGTTCTTTTGTTTTGGTGTTGATCCATTTACTCTGTGGCACATTCAGAAGAGATTGTAAGTGATGCTGGCAGCATCATATTACACTTCGGTCTCCTCTGCTATGATTTATTCTCGTCCAACCAACAGATCATGATTATGGTTCTGTACAGTGCTTCATTATAAATAATTCATACTTACATGTTTTCTCAAGCAGCTATTTACAGCTCGACCTTACATGTCCTTCCATTATCTTATTAAAACCCAGTTTTAAATGCATAGCTTATTTCAGCCTCTCTTATCATCAGCAATACACTGTCGGCAAGCCATATTTTTTGCCATTATTTACTTTTCTCTAATATCCTATTTTTCTTCATATAGTGGAGACACTATTGAAGTATATTCCATGTTCAGTACTTCATCACCAACATTATGAATGCACACTCCATTTTTTATGGCATTACTTAAGAGATGAGATTTTCCAAGAAATCTCACATTTTCTGATTCTTGTATGGAAATCTTACTTTTACTTTCAAAGGGCAAAGCAATGTAATATGTATGTATTTTGAATTTCTGAATGTGTTTTGTTGCTGTGTATTTTCTTGCTCAATTAAGTTCTTAAGCCTTTAGCCATCATTGAGATGCATGAAAGCAGTAGGAAGATGAAGACCTGCCTCTTTCATTGATTTACAGGGAAAACGATCTGACATTGACACTAATTTGTGTTTAGTTTTAGGTTTCTTTTTTTTTTTTTGAGTTGCTATGCAATTCAAGGCTAGAATTTGTTTAGAGGTTTTGATAAGGAGAAAGCATGGTGCAATATATTGGGTTTTAAGAAATGTTTTATGAATATTTTGTTCTGTAATGTAGTTAATATTTATCTCTTCAATGAACTTATCTGTTACTGTCTGGCTAATAAAATAATAAAGCATACTGAATATTTCATACTGAACAGCAAGGTCATTTGTTGCTTATAACAAACTGATATTTTAAGAGACTGGATGTTGAGTGATCTTTCTGTCCTTGTGATAATCTTACAAAGCCTATGAATAATCATTTTAAAGCAAAAATGGTGTGATTCATTGTAAAGAATAAGAGTGAGATCTGATCCACCACTTGAACAAAAATGCTTTTTCTATGCCTTAAGAACTCTTCAGAGTAAACAGACCCTCATACTTGAGGCCATTGTTTTCATATAGATTGATTAAACTGTGGCTGCTTATTTTAAGGTAAGATGCTCCACATCAGTATTGAATTTGTAAGTGTTTTTTTTTTGTGGCTATTTATTTTTTTACTTGCTAGTGGGACATTCAATACTGATACGTTTGTAAGAAAACCCGTTTATTTTTATTTCAGTTTCTGTTTATTTATTTTGTTTTCAGTAAGTAATGTTAGTACTTCAACTTTGAAATGTTGCCTTGACAACTGAAGCTTTCATCTAATATATTTAATTTATGTCCTAATGTTTTTTTTTTTAGTTAATTATAATAACTCTGTTTACATTTAATGTTTTTTGTTTTTTTTTGTGAGGAGCCTTTGAAAAATGTATATTCTCCTGTATTGCATTCAGGTCTCCCTCTAATCCACAGATGGGTGAATGTGAGGCTTTGCAGTCTGCAACAGCTCAGAGCTGTTTTAATTTTAATATAGTTGTATCATCCTTGGAATGTATTAACAACATTTCCATCAGACTCTGATACCGAGTTTCTTTTTGTCTCTGCAGGAGTGAGCTGCCGGCTCAGAGATGAGAAGCAGGTATTAATGAAATTCCTGTCCCTGGCTGCAGTCAGTAAAAGAGTCATGATATCAGTCATTGAGTTATCACCATATATGATATGAATGTAGAATCCTGGTGATGTGGGATGTCTATAGATAAGATTGATCCAATGTTCAGCGAGTTAGTTCCATTTTTTTTTTGGAGTAGTCATAGCTAAGCTCAGCTCTTCGCAAGATTTTATTTGTTTGTTTGTGTTTATTTAATTATTATTTTTATTGTTATTTATCTTATTTGTATTTTTTATTTTTTATGATTATATTAGAGTTGAAAATATCAAAAAAAAAATTAACATTAGTGAATACATCGCAAACTAATGTTGAACAATTTTTTTTACAGAATTTATTAATCACATTTTTCAGGTTGTGTAAATTAACATGATTGAATGCAATATGAATGAACAACAAACAATAATGCATAAATCAACATTAACCTAGATTTACAAAATGCTGTAATTGTTGTCCATTGTTAGTTTATGATACCTAACTAATGTTGCCAAATGAAACCTTGCTGTAAAGTATTACAACTATTTACTTATTTAATAGAATAACGTCTTTACTGGTTTGGGTGCTTCTGAATTGTGAACTTGTTTAAAGTCATTGCGGTTGTCTTTCATTACATATTTATTCGTTTTTGGAGTAAAAAAAAACAAAAAAACAGCATGTGTATGTGAGAGGAAGTCCATTCTTCTGGTCATGCTTCGAGTGACCCCTGCCTTTTAAATAATCACAACGTGAATGCCGGCTACACTTCTATCTTAGAAAGCACAGACTTCATCCTCAACTCTTTAACCTTTTCATGGACAAACACATGCTGGTTCACCCTTTGCCCATTTGGCAAGCTTTCCCATGACTTCCCACTGATCCAAAGAAGCAGCGAGTGGGGAGAGGAGGAGTGTTGGGGTTTTGTTGATCATTTGTGGTGGCTGTGAGCTGCCTTTTATTCAAGCAGTGATTGTTCCATCTGGCCCTCTGTTGTGAGACAGAAGTTTCAGTGTGGAGAGCAGGGAGTAGGTCTTGCCTTTTCAGGTTGCTACAAAATATGTAGCCTGTATAAACCTCTCAACCCGTTCTTTCTTTCTTTTTGTTCCTCACCCCGCTTTGATTTCCTCCACCCCCCCGGTATAACTTATTTGTGATCAATTCCACTCGATCTTAAATTCACATGTAATGCATGTTGGCATTATTTTTAAAGCAAGATCTACAGAAGATGTGCTCTGACTGAAATGTAAACTTACAGAAAAACTATACAAATCCATTTTTCATTCTGCCATCATCAAAAATGTCATCTGATGCTCCACGTCCTTGTAGTTTGCTGTCATTTTTTATTGATCTATAGCGGCCCTGTGTGTGCTGCTGTAAATGTGCATGATTGTGCAACAAGTGTGTGTTTGTATAGTAAGAGTAGGGTTTACAGTATGTGAACGCTATGAGAATGGCTTTATGGGTAGAGTTGGCTCAGGTCATTGTATGTGTTCTGTTCTGGCCTGTCTCAGCCTGCAGAGAGATTGTTTATCTGACTGCACCATTTGTCCTATTGAGCCGCTGTTTCCTGCCCTTAGGGGTCTACACACACATTCACAAATACACCCACATGAAATCGCATAGCAGGCAAAAAAGAAGAGAATCTATAGCCTCTGAAAACATTTTAGTTTTTTTTTTTTTAAACGATTTAGTCGTTTGCAGTATAAATATACACAAAACTGTAAGAAAGTACTTGTATGATTTCAAGAGATAGCTAGCTGTTATTTGGAAATCAGTATATTACTGTGTTCATCGATACTCAAGTATTTTACAGATTCAAACTGTCCTGTTTTTATTGGTGTAGGTGACCTTTTTGTGGTAAGATTTCGAAATTCCAGCTCGGTTTGAACATCCTACCAGAGTTTGTAACTTTGTATCCATTACATTTATATTGATTTTTTTTTTCTTTTTTCTTTTTAAATGATGGTTTGCAAAATTGAGATGGTACTTGTTTGTAATAATTATGTGGTTATAGTATATAGCTAATCCGGAGGTCCTGTTCTTGGTAGCCAGGTTCCTACAATGATGCAAGTAGACATCTACTTGTCTCTATGCTGAATTTGTAAATAGTCGTATAGTCAGTTCAGCATTGATCATGGTAGTCAAGATACATTATTTTATATCCTCTGTTGACATAGAAGTCATTTTGTTTTCTCTCTGTACTATTTGTCCTTTGCGTGTTTTGATCATTTGATTTAGTCTTATTGGGTTTCTGTCCTGAGCAACGGCCAAAAGTGTTTGAGAAACACAGCCATCTCTGTTATCAATTAATAGTATTCATCTTTTTTTCTTTTTCTTTCTTTTTTTTTAACTTTTTTGTTGTCTTTTCATTATATACATTTATAGTAATGTGCTGTATACTGAATTGATATTTTTTTGTCTATATTATTCTTATTATATCGTCTAATAATATAATTATTATTACATTTTGTAGGTTGACTTACAGTAGAGTACAGGTCTCATGGCTGTGCCTGAGGTCTATTGACTGAGGCTGACGTGGCTGCGACGTCACGGCGGGGTTCATTTAAATGGGGTTCAGGGGGAGAGAAGCAGTTTAAATTAGTTTGGGGGGAAACAAAGAGCCGGAGCGACGCGTAAAGGCGGATGCTGGAGTAGAGTTCACGCACGAAACTTCAGCAAGACATTTCAGTTTTTCAGTGTGGAAACTTTCAACACAGAAAACAAGTGAGTTCACTTTGTTCTTTTCACATCAACAGTTGTTATCTGACCAGTAACAGTTACATGGGTTTTCTGTTTGGTTTACTCCGTTAAACTTTTTTTAAAAGTACCATTGGGAAGTTATAAAGCGAAAAAGTGAACATGTAGAGTTTTTTTTCACGCGATATAAACATACGAATACGAATATTTAGACCCGAACCAAGTGCGGACAAGACATTTTTAAAAGTTGACTTTTCTTAGGACTGTTAAACTTGTAAAGATGAAGAAGAGCGTTTAGATAAACATCTGATATGAATTCAGTGGAAGTATGTGATAATACTCTTGATTTGGTCTAAGGGGTTTTGTTATCCGTAAATTAAGATACTAGATGTTCTGAGGTGCGCAAACATTTTTTACTACGTTTGTGCCGCGAGCTGTTGCATTCTTGCAATGTAGGAAACGGTTTGCTGAGTTGTAAGACCCTCATCAGTTGATGATGACAATTTATTTCCATAATAGATGAATGTACAAAATATAAAACCACAGATAATGTGAAACGACTACTTGACACTAAATTACACAGTTTAGGTAGAAATAGTAGGCCTACATAAACTACTTGAATTGGTAGTGGACACGTAAGATTTTTCTACCACAATTTGAGACTTATTAAGTATATTGATTACATTTACTGTCCATAAAGTAAAGTTTTATAGTATAGGCTGTCGCAAAACCTGTGATCAGGTTTAAAAAAAAAATCATTTTTGGGCATCATTAGGCATGTTCTGCGTCTCACTCACACTCAGTGTGCCCAGTTGCTGTGTGGATAGGCAGCTTGTTGTGGCTGTCTTTGCAAAAAAGTTTTTACACAAAGCAGGTGGTGGTCTACACTAACCAATAGTGTTGCACAGATGCTTGTCAGTGTTATGAGTGTCTTATTTTTCTATGTACTTTTGACTTTGGCTTATTTCAGCCTGACTGAAATGTAAATAGTGTGTTTTAATTTCTGATGCATATGAAAAGTGTGTGTGTGTGTGTTTGTGTGTGTCAGCTAATGCTTTAAATGGAGAATCACCATAATTCAGTTCTCTTGCTCAAATCTTGTGTGTGTGTGTGTGTGTGCGCGCCACATTAGGGATCATTGTGCATTTAATGCTCTTGGCTTCATTCACTCCCTCTCTCTCCTCTTGAATAGAGTGATTAAAGTGAGTACGGTCAAAGGGTGCAGGACAGAAAGGAAGAGGACCGCGTTCCATCTTTTCTTCTATTGCTCTTTGAGAGACCCTTTTCACCTGACCTGCATTCTGACCTTCCACCCACCCCCCAATCTTTCATTTATCTTTCTTCAGACACTTTCAAGGCCTTTTCATCCCAGAGTGGGAATAAGAAAGTGCAAAAAATGCAGTTTTATTGAAGGGATTACATATTTGGAGCTATACCACTTCACAGCACTTCAGCAAAGTTGTAAACATTCAACCTTTTGTCCTCTGCCCTGTTTTGGTGTGAGCATATAGCAGAGAGAGAGAGACAGAGAGATTCTTTGGGTAAAAACACTGTGATCAGATAAAATAAAACGGACTGTAATTGAGAGAAGAAAACTGATCACTTTAATGTTAACCAGTTCATATGAATAATTCTGGGCAGTGAGCACAAATGAGTATTAGGGATGTAACGGTATGAACATTTCTTATCACGATTATAGTGACCAAAATGATCACGGTTATCAGTATTATCACGGTATTGTTAAAATGTGCTGGAGATGTTAAAAAAAGTACCGACACATAAATCACTTCAAGTTTTATATTTAAAAATCAAGAAACAACAAATAAAATGACTTTTTGTTTGCATAATCACTAAAACAATAACATTACCAATGAGGTTCAGATTTTAAATGACAACTTGACTGACAACAGTTTAATAGCATGTTGAAATATCTAATGTAAATGTTCAAATAAAGCTTTGAAAAAGTTTAATAAAAAGGTAAACCTCACATTTCAGCCTTTAAATAAAGAAAATATGTCAAAATGATAATTGATTAATAAATGATTATTTTATCTGCTCCATAAATAATTCTAGATAACTTATCTGAATTGTTTAAATGTGTAGAATCCACATAAAGCTTGTTTTTCATCAACCGGTCAAAATTTACAGCAGGGCATGCAAATTCGGTCAGTTTTTGGCTGAATTAGAGCTGTTTCCTGTAACCTCCTTGGACAAAGCAGTATTGCGATTAAGAACACTTCCTTTAGGTATTACATGGAGCGATAATGAAAACAAAATGCCATCGAATCGTTTCTGAAGACAGTCAGAACCTTCAGAGGTACATTCATATATTAATTTGTATAATTCCCTTAGCACTCTTTTAAAACCTCCCAGCTTTTCTGGTACCGAATACTGAAATTTTGGTACCGTGACAACACTAGTCACATCCCTAATGCGTATTATACATAGATAAGTTATTATTTATATAAGACACCACTCATGTTTTGTTAGCCAAGCAAGATTCATATGCATTTAAGGGCTTATTTCACATTACTACAGAGGAGAAATGGAGTGTGTTTCAGAGCGATATTACAAAGCTCTCTTGCCCTCTGCATAGTAAAGATATGCTTTTAACTCAGCTTCTGGATATATGAGTGTATGTCCTCAGGGTGTGTATATAACATGTCTCAGTCACTGATTTCTCTTTAAGGAGCACAGATGTTAATTTTTGTGTGTGTGCCTCACTAACTCTGAACCCTCAGATTCACAGGCCTCCAGTGCTATGCTGGTCAGTTTCTGTCGGAAAGCATTTGGTGTAACACTTACCTAATGCTTCACAGCACTGGACTGGTGACAGCCTTTGTGTGTGTGTGTGGACATCACCCAGCTGCACACGCTCACAATGATTTATGACTGCTAGCCTCAGACCTGTGTTTGAGTAAATCTTGTGCTGAAGTGAACTTAAACAGCTGTTTTTGTTTTAAACACTGTCTCCAGACGTCTCTCTCCTCCCCCGTGTCTGTCTGTCAGTCTGTCTCTCTGCGGTTTAGATGACTGATAAAGCCAGTGCTGACTTGAACTCCCTCTGCACTGTGTCTCAAGACTAACGCACAGTACCAGCTCAGCCTTAAGGGCCTGCTTTGCTTCAGACTTAATGAAAGCACATCCTTTTAATATAGTCTTTACAGAAAAACGCAGCGCTTGTAATAGAGTTTAAGAGTTGCTGAAAGGAAAGACTCCAAATGGAAATCTGTAATTGAAAAGTGGCACTGATAAGCGTGGAACTGTGCCATATGTCTGACTATGAGTGAAGTGGGTCAGAGCTTTGTGTTGTTTTCTCTGCTATGGAAATGAGTTTGAAGTCCAGCTGGTTGTGCGGCAAGGGACTCGCACACTCGAGCGCTGGGTGCTGGAACGCTCTGAAAAGATGTGAGGGGAGAGGACCAGAGGAGGGGAGAGAAGAGAAACCGTGTGTGTCCAGCGGTCCCGCATTCCTCTGCGCTTGTGATAATGGAAGCCCCATGGCATATAATGAGTGAGTAAGGCCCTCAAAGAGCGTGTGTTTCTGTGAGAAAAATTGGGCTTTTAAAGGGCTTTCTACCCTCAGAGTGTGTGAGATGTGTGTGTGTGTGTCTGTGTGTGCCTCGTTAGGATGTCTGGAACACCCCCTCCCCATCATTCACACACACACACACATATCCCACAAAGAAGACTGCCTGATGAGAGATTTCGGATGAAAGGTCAGAGAAAAATGGTGAGGAGGGGGAATTTTTTGGACCCAGAGAGGGGGTGAAGAAATTTTTGGGCCAGGAAAATGGGGGTTAGGGTGCTCAAGATTTGTGTTTTTCTGAGAGGTTAGTCACGCTCTGCTGAGCAGCTGACACTTAATTACTGTTTGGAGGGAGTTGCAGGATTTACTGGGTCAACAGAATATTTTATAAACGGCTTTAGAAGAGCATTTAGTGTGTTAAGAGTGAGAGATGGAGGGGAAAAACAGAGGTAGAAAGCATTTTTACTGCCTCTGCTTATGGTGACCTATAAAGGTCTGGCGCCTGAGTGATGAGGGATGGCGTTTGTGCTGGGACAGGAGTTTGTGTTGCTCAACCACGACGAGAACAAGAGCAGCTAGAAAACATGTGATCCGATAGGCCCTCCGGAGCAAAACAGTCAATGTGATTGAGCAAATGAATGGAAGGACGGACACTTCGACTGCAGTGAATGGAAAGTGGTATAGTCAGAACAAGAGACTTGTTTGGACCTAATAGATGTTTAATTATCCTCAAAGCTTTTCATCAGTCCGGCTAATTCTGGCTGCGTTGAGTCTTGCGACTTACAGACCGTCCTCTCTTTCAACAGGAGATCAGCTTTTGTTACCGTTAATTGCTTTTCCTGCTAACAGAACTCTGAACCAGGATGTCGTCTTATTGACAAAAAAGTCACTCCCACACTGACAATGGTGCTGAGTTGTTAGTAAATGTGTCTGTGGGAAGCTGGCTGATGTGTGAATGTGCGTTCTTCTGTAATCTGTGTGGGTCCATATGTGAGTGCACGTAGTGTTGTCAAAAGACCCGGTATTTCGGTACCAAGTCGGTACTAAAAAAATGAAAACGTTACGGTACCAGGTTTTCTTAAGTACCGGTGGTACCGAGTACCCGGTCAACCCGGTTCTTGATGCGCTATCCGAAAGCTATCCTCTTCCAGTGTTGCCAAGTCCACACTTAATATTTGTAATCTTATCTAAATTTATTATAAAAGCTGAGGTTTGTTATTTACTGAAAAGTTATATTTTAGCTGGTGTCAATGATCTAATGTTGCATTTGGTCAGACTCAGCCCATTGCTTTACTGAAGTATATTATATTGTTCTTTTTCAGCTGCAGACTGAGGAAGATCCTGAAACACACCAGCAAACTCTAAAACAGACAACAGTTTACAGTTGTTTTTCAGCGGCAGCAGAACTATGACTAAACTTTCGGGTGAAGCTTGTTTACTTTTTTCATACTTTTATTACTTGTGGAAAAACTTGAAACACTTTTAAATAAGTATAAAGAATGGCATTGGTTTTGTACATTTAATTTTTGTTTAACGTTATTAATAAAAATGTTGTTCAATTAGCATGTTTTTGTGTTTTGCTTTGGTACCGAAATTGGTACCGAGAACCGTGGATTTTCACTGGTATTGGTACCGAATACTGAAATTTTGGTACCGTGACAACACTAAGTGCACGTCTCTGCGTGAGCTGCTGCTTCAGTCCTCTTGCCTTCATATCCACGGAGCGTTCCGGAAGAATGGCGTCCCACGGCGATGATTCCATTCTCTTCAGACAATACGCTCCTACTATCTCACAGCACGCGGGCGAATCATCGCCATGGAGATCACAAGCAGAGCTAAAGAGCGCGCTCACGCAGCCAGAGTAACAAACACAAAACCCATATAAGCAGATCTGTGTACATGGAGAAACCCTCATTTGAGATGATTCAGGCAAATAAATGTAAGATTGAAAAAGGTCCTTTTCTCAGAAATGTGTTTTTTTAATTTTGCGCCTACCATTCACGGTGTTAATGAAAATAAACGTCCCACCATTGTCAGCGCTGTGGGATCTTGGTTTTTTTTCAGTTTTTAATGCTGACATGTTGAGAAGCAGAAGAGCAAAAGAGATTTATTCATTTACACCATTTATACACAGCTGAGCAGAGACAGAGGGAGAACGCAGATGTGAGGACTGTGAGTCTCTGGAGCCGATACTAGCAGGAAAGAAGGACACGTTCAAAGACATACGTCAAGTCTCTTTCTTTTGAGTGTGAATGGATGTTAGTCAGGGTTGCGAATGTTCTTCTTGTGTCGTTTTGGATGTTTATGTTTCCTGAATCAAAGCAACGAGATAGTACAGTGGCAGTGCTTTTGGTGCCAAGAACGTCATATTATCATAATTCACCATGTATTCTCCCATTTCAGTAGCTGTTACATCATACTTCTGTGTGATGTGTTTGTGTGCCATTTCTGTGGGCGGCTGGAGAAATGTGTGGCAGTGATAGCAGAGAATCATGCAGTCCTTCAGCATTATGACCTTTTGTGTTTGCACGAGCCAAGTCTGCGACATTGTAATGCCAGTCCGTTGAATTCAGTCAGTGAAGCTCTAATTAATCATTCTGAATGATCACCCTTATCAGCTCCATTCATTCATCTCTAATTGGGAATTTGAAATATTAAAAGGGCGAAGTAACACCTCAGCATAGATGGCTCGATTACTGTCCTGCCCTTTGATAACAGTACTTATGACAGTAATTGTTCAGTTACTGAAAACTGCAATTTTGCTCTGCAGCAGCTGATGATTGTGTGTGTTTTTCAGAATGCGTGGCCTGTTTTCCACCCTCATCGTGGTGCTGGTGGCCTTAATGATCGTGACCACAGAGGCTGGGAAAAACAAGAAAGGTATAAAATATTGCAAGAGACCAGCTCTCCCCTCTTTCATTTCTTCCATTAGTTCAGCTCTCATTTAGAATTATATCCTGTGATTTCTCACTTTGAATCTTAAGGCTGGAATACACTACTTTTGAACAGATTTTGCCCCAATTTGCAGTATGGACAAGTCAGCGCTAGTTGCTGAAAGTCTGAGCCAGTCTACAATTTTTGGGCATTTTATATAAAATTGCATATAGTGTATGATGGGCACAGACTCCAATTTTTAGCTTCTGACTGTGATTTCATACAGTTGAAGGATTTCAAACATGTTATTTCTATTTGCTATCCAAACATGATATTTTGAGCCAGTTTTAGAACGCATATTTTCATTCATCGTGCTTCTTCTATAAAAGAGGGGCACATGTTTGTTGTGTTAGGATCGGCTTGCAAGTCTGGTGGTGTGTGATTTTCAAATGTTTGCTGTATATTGCCCAGTTTTTTTCTTCTGTAACCATTTACATATGTGACAAGTGTGATGCCTAGTGTTTTAAAATCTGTTCTGATTTTAAAAGTCATTTAATGTTAGTGTATTCCTGCCTTAAAGGGACAGTTCACCCAAAAAACGAAAATTGTCATCATGTACTCACCCTCAAGTTGTTCCAAGAGTTTCTTTCTTCTGTTGAATGTAAAAGAAAATATTTTGAAAAATGTTAGTAATCAAACAGTTGCTGGTAGCCGTTGATTTCCATAGTATGGAATATGGAAGCAAGTAGCAACCAGCTACTATTTGCTTACCAACATTCTTCAAAATATCTTTTCAGTTTTGGGTGAACTATCCCTTTAAGCAAATACTGACATATCACTGAAAATTTGTTGCTTTTGAACCTAAGCAGTTTTGCATGAGTTTCTGTGATGCTGAAGGGGAGAAATGTAATAACGCTGCCTGTGTGTCATGTGACAGAGAAGAATAAAGGAGGTAAGGGTGGTTCGGACTGTGCGGAATGGCGCTATGGCAGTTGTGTGGCCAATAACGGGGACTGTGGAGCAGGCACGAGGGAAGGCACCTGCAATGAGCAGACCAAGAAAGTCAAATGCAGAGTGCCCTGCAACTGGAAGAAAGACTTTGGAGGTGAGTAAGACTGGTCAATCAGCTGAAATTTTCTAACTTCTCACAGTTTCTTCTTATATTTAGCCATCACTATTATTTCTGGCATTTAATTTTTTATTTAGTGCTTTTGTGCTGCTGTGTATTTCTGTTTGTTCTGTGCATTTCATATTAAATTGTAACTCATTTCATGCAGCCGACTGCAAGTATAAGTTTGGTAACTGGGGCGAGTGTGACGCAGCCACAAGCACAAAGAGCCGCACTGGCACTCTGGTAAAGGCTCTCTTCAACGTCGACTGTCAGCAAACCATCTCTGTGTCCAAACCCTGCACCACCAAGATCAAAAACAAACCCAAAGGTACACCTTCAACACCAAACCCAAAACTGACATATTTAAGTTTTTTTTATAGGGGTCATATGATGTTGCTAAAAATAACATTATTTTGTGTATTTGGTGTAATGAAATGTGTTTATGTGGTTTAAGGTTCAAAAAACACATTATTTTCCATATAATGTACATTATTGTTGCTCCTCTATGCCCCGCCTTTCTGAAACACGTAGATGTTTACAAAGCTCAT